TTTAACGTGAGATGTTGCTACCATTGTACTGTAACAAACAGTCACTTGTTTCTCTAGAAGGAAAACAGGGCCTGTGTCAAATGGGCTTTATGTCTTAGAGGAGATCCCCCTGCCTCCTAGAATGAGGTTATTCTGGGGACAGCAGCTGCGGAGTGAGCTTTCCAGTGGAAGCCTGGGGGTGCTCTAGGTTGCGCTCTAACCCGTCTCAGGGATGGCTGGAAACTGCCAGTCTTCCAGAGAATTCCATATAGGGAAGAGGAGAGTGCTTACTCCTTCAACAATATTTGTTAAGCCACTGATCACGATGTACCAGACGGCGTACTAGTTACTGAGCCATGACAGAGCAGGCACTTAATGTCACAACAGCCCTTCAGGTGAGCGGATTGTGGTTTTACACATGAGAAAGTGGGGCACAGAGAGGGTGAGTGACTTGTCTCAGTCCCTTGAGATACACAGCAGAGCCTAGATTTGTAATCTTGTCTGTCTGGGCCCAGTGTCTGTCTATGTTATGTTAATCCTATCATTTCTATCATGCCTGGCATGTATGTGTATGTATGTAGGTATTTACCATAAATAAAAGATGTGAGGCATAGCTATACTAAAATTATTGGTTGTTAATCTGAAGCTCAAGTTAACTGAGGCTGAGTGTGCTGTGTTCACTCTGGTCACTCAGGCGGGGTCGTCTCCTCACGGCCAGCAACGCGGCAGCAGGATGTCATCCTGTTGCTCTCATCTTTTCTTAGGTTGGATCAGGACTCACAGATGGGGTCTCACTTTACTTAGCTGCCTTTTTAAAGACCCAATCTCCAAATAGAGTGACGTTCTAAGGTTATGGGGTTAGGACTTAAACATGTTATTGGTAGAAAATGAGTTCTTGTGGTGTCTAGAGGGAAACAAATCCCTGAGACCAGCACAGGAGGATGAGGTTCTGAGTAGACTTTATTGATGATGTAAAATTAAGGAGGTTCCCCTCCTGGTTTCCCAATGTCTTATCTCCATCTCTCATACCATGGATGAAGTCCAAGCTTGTCTTCAGTAGGGTTAATGCAAAAGCCAGTGTCCAGAATTTCTGCTTCATGTTCAAGTGCAGTCCAGGCCAGCATTTGGCTGGTTTAGAGAGTGTTTCCAGCTGCAGTCTACTGCTGGGCTGCGACATTCAGGTTGCCTCCTGGAGCCTGGGTGTGGAGCCTGCAAGGCCATGGGACGTGAGATGACTAGGGCCACATATCTATGAACAGAGTAATGTGCAAGTGCACGTGGCAAGTGTGGGTCACTAGGGGGGAGAGAGAGGTGGGGGAGAGAAGTGGGGGAGAGAGAGGTGGGGGGAAGAGAGATTAGAGATTAGTCCTTTTGGAGTCCATGCCATCTGCTGTAGGTCCCTGTAGCTGCTAAATCCTCCTGGTCACATGCTCCCAGATGGGAGTGTGCCTGAATGCATGGGGCAAGCACATCACCTGGTGTGCAAGGGAGACGGAGAGGTTCTTTATTTCTCTGGGATTATATTAGTTTATATTTGGGGTTGTCCAGGTGCTTTATCCAACGAACCAATCAACTCTCCAAGATTTCATGAGCTCTGGATGAGTTTATATCCCCTAGTTAGACTGACAGGCCTCTATGGTCCAGCACCTCCCAGTGCGCCCACCCAACAATCCAGTACCAGGGTGGGGAAGGGAGGAGTGTTAAGCCCCTTGGTGGAGCAATGCTGTAATCCAGTGGGGTGTGAAGCTGTAGCTTCCTGGCTAATAAGAAGGCTTATGCTTCCCAGTTTATCAACCTCAACATCTAGTTCCCTTTGCTTCCCTTTCCCATCTTTAATTAGCTAAATATCAATGGTAATACTATGAATTTTGGAGGGACACAATTTAACCCATAACATGGACATACTCAATGGGCTCTAAATCCACTAACTGAAGATACTGAAACTGAGGGTCCTTATGACTTTGATTAAATTTAGCTTTAAATTCTAGTTCTAGAAATCATCTTCTGTATCTCTCACTATACACACACACCCACATATACATGGTGTGTCCAGAAAAAATCCAGCCATTGTTAATTTAACGAGAATGGCTTGTACATCATCGATGAGAGTGGGTTGGCATGCACATGCTGAACAGTGATGACCTCATTGTACTAGTCAGTGGGGCGGTAGATGCCATTGAGTGAGCATGTGTACTGAGTGGCTGTTGCATTCAAAATGACTGAGTAGAGCAACTACTCTGCTTCACATTTTGCACTAAGCTTGAACACTCCTCTGTGGAAACATTTTGGATTATTCAGAAGGCTTTTGGGGATGATGCAGTGAGTGCAGCACAAATGAAAGTGTGGAAAAATGCTTCAAAGATGGTCAAGTATCTGTTGAAAGTGCTCCACGTTCTGGAAGGCCTGCAACAAGCAGAACCCCTGAGAATGTGGAAAGTGCTCAGGCTGCAATCAACTAACATCAGCAAGAACTGACAGTGTGAGAACTAGAAGCTGATCTGGGGATTCCAAAAACAGTGCCCAAGATTTTGACGCAGGATCTTGGCCTGCAATTTGTCATGGCAAAATTTGTTCTGTGGCTTCTGCTACCAGAGCAGAAGGAACATCGTGCTGCAGTTGCTAATGACTTGATTCAAACCACTACCAATGAACCAGACTTCCTAAAGACATTCATCACTGGAGATGAATGGTGGGTCTATAGCTATGATCCAAAAACAAAGGCCCAGTCATCCCAATGGAAGTTGTCTGGCTACCTGAAGAATGTGCAGCAAATTTGCAGCTGATGGCGATTCCAACAGAGGATTTTGCAATGTTTTGAACAGTAGAAGAGATGCTGGGAGAACTGTGTGAGGTGCCAAGGTTCCCACTTTGAGGGGACTGAAGTGTCATTGTCCTATATACAGTGTTTATTATATATCTTGTGCCTTTTTCAATAAATGTCTCTATTTTTCATAGTATGTGGCTGGATACTTTCTGAACAGACCATATCTATCTCTGTATCTACATCTGTGCCTGTAACTATATTTCTATCTGTCTCTCAGAGATCTAACCTTTCTCCCTGGATAATCAACAACTCTGAGGCAGCAGAAGATAGTAGCTGAGACCTAATGATTATACTGTGCAAACCTCTGGCAGGCTAAAGATAATATCTTTTTTTAAAAGATTTTATTTTTAGAGAGAGGGGAAGGGAAGGAGGAGGAGAGCGAGAGAAACATCAATGTGTGGTTGCCTCTCACACACCTCCCACTGAGAACCTGGCCCACAACTCAGGCATATGCCCAAACTGGGAATCAAACCTACAACCCTTTGGTTCACAGGCCATGCTTGATCCACTGAGCTATACTAGCCAGGGCTAAAGATAACATCTTAATCTAAGTTATATTTCAGCTCCTCAGCCCTAAAATGGAACAATCCCCTGGCTACTTTCTCATGAGACCAGGCAGAGGGACCCTGCAACAGACCTCAGAACTGTTCCCAAGACCTGAAGAAATGATTGATTACCTTTACCTCATTTGCAACCAATCAGTTCCCAGCACAACTCTGAACTCCCTAACCTATGGTATGGGGTTTTGCCCTATATCATCTATAACCTATATGCCATCGAAGTGTTTGGGTTTTGAACATTAGCTTCCCATTTTCTTGGGCAGCACTGTTCATAATAAAATAGGCAACTGTTCTCCACTGCAATTCTTGGTGTCTAGTGTTTGACTCGGCCAATGCTGGGTAGGTGAACTCTTTCTGTTCAAGAACAATACTGTAAGTAAAAGAATGCCAAAGATTGTTGGCAACTACCATTAGCTAGGAAAGAGGCATGAAGCAGGTTCTTCTCCAGAACACTCAGAAGGAACCACTCTTGCTGACACTTTGATTTTGGACCTCTAGCCTCTAGAACTGAGAGAGAATACATTTCTGTTTCATCTAGCTTGTAGGAAATGAACACAACTGCCTTGCTCAGGAGTGATCTGCAGAGTACTTAACAGAGGAGGCCACAGTGATGTATCCCAGCTGGTCTAGGCAGGCTGGCATCTGGCAGAAGATGTCGGGACTGAGAACCAAGAAAGAGGAGCAGGAGGAGGCCGGGAACCACTCTGTGCAAAGATGCAGGGGCTTGCCAGAGCCTGACTGGGTTAGAGAAATACTAGTACTGAAGAGTTTGAACTAACTTTCTCCAAAGAGGACATACAGATGGTCAATAGGTGTATGAAAGGATACTCAACATCACTAACCATCAGAGAAATGCAAATCAAAACCACAATGAGATATCACCTCACACTAGTCAGAATGGCTATCTTCAATAAATCAACAAATAACAAGTGCTGGTGAGGATGTTGAGAAAGGTGAACCCTCATGCACTGTCGGTGGGAATGCAGACTGGTGCAGCCACCATGGAAAGCAGTATGGAGATACCTCAAAAAATTAAAAAGGAACTGCCTTTTGACCCAGCAATCCCTCTTCCAGGAATATAGCCAAAGAAACCCAAAACACTAATTTGAAAACATAAGCACCCCTATGTTCAATGCAGCATTATTTATAATCACCAAGACATGGAAGCAGCCCAAGTATCCATCAGTAGATCAGTGGATAAAACTATGGGACATTTACACAATGGAATACTACTCAGTTGTAAAAAAGAAATTTTGCCTTTTGTGACAGCATGGATGGACCAGGAGAATATTATGCTAAGTGAAATAAGCTAGTCAGAGAAAGACAAATAACATGTAATTTCACCCATATGTGGAATCTAATGAACAAACTGAACAAACAAGCAGACTAGAGACAGACTGATAGACAGAGCAGGTTGACAGCTCTGGGGTGGGGGTGGGGGGCGTTAGGTGGTAGAGAGATGAAGCAAAAAGGAAAAAAGACTCATGGACATGGACAACAGTGTGGTGATTGTGGTGGGGGGAAGGGGTATAAGGAGGATAAACAGTAATGGAAAAACACAATAAAAAATAAAAAAAAACAAAATAAATAAATAATTGCACAATCTAATATTCTTTTTCTTTTCTCTTGGGTTACAGTTTCAGTGAGATGTAGAAAATCTATCAGCCACGTTTATGAACAATGACCTGGCAAATGGAAGATGCAACCAGGATACTTCAGGCAACTATTTTCTAACCTCCCCATAAAATTAATTTAATTTAAAAATTGATTCTTCAGTTAAAAATAACAAACTACTTTCCTCTTAAACGAGGTAAAGGAGACAACTTCAACCTCTCAATTGTCTTATATTGTTCACAAGTAAGTACTCAGATGTTCTCTAATTGGGGAGGAGACCCCTCACCCCCACCCAGGTCCCTGGTCCAGGCAGTGGAGCAACAGTAGAGGCCCACCGGGGGGCGGGCAGTGTGGAGCAGCACGCAGGAGGCATGCTGTGCAGCCTGTTTCCCGCAGGGCACTCAAGCAGAATGCGCGCCCCTACGCCCACTGCCCAGCCCCACCATCCATCTCCTGCCAGGTAGGGCTGCTGGGGACAAAGATGCTCCTGTGCACTAGCTCCCACTTCCCCTGAAGGAAAGCTTTTGGAGCCCTCCATCCAGGCATTGCAGTGTCCTCGGAGTTCCTCCAGTGGACCCCGGTGCACCTGGCCCAGGCCTGCTCCGTGCGCCCGAAAGCATCAGCCTAGCAGTGCGGGACAACCGGTGTCTTCCTGCAGGCACCCGCCCTGACAGGCCTTCTCTGCTCTGCACAAAGGCAATTCTGACTTGTTTTTTATTTTGTTGGTGTTTTGGAGTTGGAGATCTGAGTGAAGAATGTTGAAATTGGGAAAGGGTATCTCCCTTTTTTGAATTATATTATTATTATTGTTTTCTCAGAGGATGTCATAATTTGCCCAGGGGAAGAAACTGCATACTGGTTGGCAGCAGCACTGAGTTTGAATTAAGTCTTTGTTGTATGACTGCCAGAGTATCACCAAACTTTCCTTATTTCTAGTGTTCTTTCCATCTCCTGCTGCTCTGTTAATTCAAATCTAGTGCACTTGCCCATCTGGAGAAGGAACACTAATCTGAACCCCTGGCTTCATCATTTCTGGAGTTGAGGAATCCTGAGAAAATCTCTAAATTTTTGTGAAGAGTTTTGCTTTTATTCTACAAGCATTTCAATGCCTGTGATGTACCTACTAGTTGCTATAGAAGGTCCAGGGGACACATGATCGCTGACCTCATGGGATTCATCTTCTTGCTAGAAAGTCTCAACATAACACAGGCAAAAATAATTCACCGATTTGGTGGTGATTATAGAATATGTGAAAGGAAGTTCTTCTGTTTAATGTTGAGGGTGTCCAGTCTAGCTTGCTTTGTCTAGGGGGCAGGCACCACCCTGAGGTACACACTTACTTCCATAGCATTTGCTGCTTTTTCACACCCCACACACAATCTTTAGACTGATCTTCACTGCTGTCTGCGCTTTCCTCAAATCATGACACAGAACCCAACATAGCCCACCTTCCAAACAGCACACCCATGGATTTCTGTTCATTTCTGCTTCTCCATTCTTAGAATCTAGTGCAGAAATGGCTTCCCTCTTTTGAAATTCATTTATGTACATGTAATGTTTGACACTTTCGAATGTAACCTTTTAATTTCCTTAAATTCCAAATCTATTGGAAGAAAGACAAGATTCTTCTCTTTTAAAAACTTTATTAGACATGGCGGGGTGATGTAGCATAAGGTACTGCACACACTACAGGAGTACACAGGGCTCCACACCACCCGTACAACAGCCAGACGGTGACCATCAGAACAGGTGACACCCGTTACAGGTTCATCCTAGTAGACTGCCGTTCCGTCCTTCCATGAGATCTGACTTCGTAATTAAGATCGCCCTTCCATTCTAAAACAGCCAACAAAAACAATAAAAAGAAAGCCCAACCACAATAAAAGGCCATAGGGACCTTTCAAAGTCTAAAATTAGACTCTAAAATATCACAAGGTATTCATTTGGAAAGACTTGCCCCTGGAATTTGTGTGAGCTGACACTGGGTGCTTTTACTGCCAGCAGCAAGAGAGAGGGCATTTACTGAGGAGGAGCAGTACACTGACACATAGCTACTGAAAATTCTTGAGGTAATAGATTTTTGAACTTCACTGCTTTAAAAAAATCTGTTAATTTCCAGGTCCTGTCCAGCAGGACATATCTATTGGCAGGAAGATTATTTTCCTTTTTTTTGTCAAATATTTACACATATTTGCATATACAGCCTGTGTCTTTGTCTTTTCTAAGCATATGATTTATTTTACTTATTCATTATACATTCATCATGAAAAGTTGAATTATATACTATAGTACATAAAGAATACAACAGAACTAGTCTTTGTATAAAGCTAACACAAAAAGCAAGACCAACACGAGCAAAATAATATATTATACAAAATGTCTTGATGTCGATACAGCCCACTGTGAATGAATAACCACATATAAACTGCAAACACCATGGTCTTTCAGCATCCGTGTGGACGTTGATGACAGGTAACATATTGCCAAAGACAAATTGTAGAGATCTGGTCAAGTTCTTTTATTTTTAATGCTTTTTTTCAATGGAACTGTGTGTTAATAAGAACTATAGATAAAGACTGATAGACATTCTACCTCCTGTTTTAAACCTTATCATCATTCTTGTGGTTTAAAAATGTGTTTCAGTTATAATGGTTTCAATTTATGGTGTTTAATATACTTTTAATACTTCACCTTAACAATGAACAATGAATTTAAGAAAAATACATCGACTAACCTGCTGTTCTAGAGATAATACAGCGGAAAGGTAGCAATATGCAGTCTATATATAACCCTAAAGGTACACTGTCTCATCAGGGCTTTAAATAGAGGGACTAAGGAATACTCACAAAAAATATATGGCTCTTTAGATAAGAAATAAAGTCAAGTGAAAAAAATAAGGCACCAATAACATATATAAATGTTACATACTCTCATCACACAAAGCACCGTATGAAAGGTTAAAGGGAACTATACATTAGTGCTATTGGAAAATGGTAATGGGCCCAGTTTCCCTAGCTTTTATTCACCAATTTCTTTCTTTTCAGTAAAACAGGGAGAATTATGCATTACATTAAAAGCACAATTCATGGAACCAACACACCAAAATAATCATTTGGCAATAAGAAGCTGATTACTCTACTAGTAAGAAATTAAGGTCCTAAATACTTCTTATTTCCCAACATTTTCATTTCAACAGAATTTGTTTTTCCTTTCCAATTTTATTTCAGGGATTTCTACATGATATCAAGATTACAAGATTACAGTAAAATTACTTATTTTCCAATATCATTGACGTAGGAAAGAAAATCTCTGTTCAACTAGTCTAATTTTAAACAAAAATATTATCACATTATTTGGAAAATAACTGCAAATTTTACACAAAATGAAAAATCATAATATAAAGAAATGATGAACAAGATCTGGAACAAACTACTAGTGAAAGTCATCCACCTTACAATTAAAAATTTCTTCTCATTTGCTATTGCCCATGAAAATTTAATTAAAATGGGATATATTCTGATATTTCAAATAGGACATGACAATTATTTCTTAGAACTGCAATTTCTGAATATATAGTAATATATTAAACATCCAAACATTTCCATTTTAGTAGTTTACACTCTTTGTGAAAAAGGTGAATGTGAATAATTTAATTGTCCCAGTTTACAATAGGTATACATACATATAAATATATTTGTTTCATGAATGTCTTATAAGCAATTTTGTTTAAAATAAAAATAAACTAATCATTGTGGCATCTTAATAAATAATGTGCTAACATAACATTTTAATGCTACTGTTTTGTATTTCTTCTACATAAAATTATTTCTGTGATCTCTCAAAATTTACTACTTAATAATTGCTTTCATAAGCAATAAGATTGTCAATTAACTTTGATACTAAAAATCTGTAACAGATTGTCCTTGTCAAAGTAAATGGATTTATATGTCTATATCTACATAGATATATATCAATTACTGTTCTAGGTTTCATATAAATTATAAGGTTGGTTTACTTTTTTCAATACCATCTACAGAATTTTAATTACAATGACAATGATCAAGTACCAAAGTAAACTATTGCCATATGGAACTTTTAAAAAAATGCATTTTAGAAAAAGGGTTTATAGTTAGCTGTTAAAAAATCATTACTTTATCCAGAATTTTCTTTATAAAGGAACATAATATTTATATCAAATAGGTAGTATTTACTTGAAATGAACAATGAAAGTATATTTGGACAAACTGAGAACATAATGGTTAATGAAAAGAATGTTATTTTTAAGAATTTACCAGATTATTGAGACTATTGCCCCACGTGGGGCATGAGGGGAACACCGAACAACCCTGCAGGGAGCTGATGAAAGCGCGGCTTGCCAGCTACAAGGAGGTATCTATTTTTGCAATTTCTGGGACTCTTTAATGGCTGATTGACTTCCCCACGTCACGTACTAAACCAATACTAGATATATCTTGAGTGTGGCTTACATCTAAATCATATCAATGAAGAAGTTGACCATTTGCAAATAACAAATGATTTCTCCAGAATAGGGCTAATATCAGTTGGAGTCAATGTGATCTATTTTATGTGTTCAAAAGTCCTAATTATGAATTCATGCTTGAGTCTTATATACAAATGTTACACTTATATATATAAATGCAGCCCCCAGTCCAAGCTGTAGGACTTTGGCTAAAACAAAGACCATAAACCATACATTTAGCCATTTTGGATGAATCATGAATGACTCGGTGTCAAGCTTGGATGCATGTCCACACGCGCGTGTTGTTCAACTAATAGGCAAACACAATATTGACCTTAAAATATTCGTGAAGCAATTTCTGAAGCTTGGTGGTAGAGTATTTTAGGCTCTATTATCCAACTAACATCTTCTCATTCATTTTACTTCTCGTCAGAGGGCTGGGTAGGGTTCTCCAACTCTGTCCAGGTTCTCCTGATACATTTCAATTTACAGATAAAATAAGCCAAAGTAAATTATGTTCACTACCATTGCCAAATTATGAAGTCCTTTCAGTGTTTAAATTTCATTTCATTAGAGTCAAAGGAATTAATGGTGAGAAGAACTTAGGCCACATTTGGCCAGAATGGGAAGGGAACTGCAGAGCGAAAAAGTTAAGACAACCAAGAAATCTAGAAGAAAATAGAAACATGATGTTGAAGTGTGAGGGTATCACTTCACAAGCACGGAAGAAAGTAATTTAATATTAATGGAAAAATACAATACCGATTAAATAGAAAAAATAACTGT